TTTTGGTTTCTCTACTCCCGTCGCCTCGTGGTGCCCGAAGGTTTTCACCGCCGAGACTCTCTCATTTTATCTCTCTCAATTCAGAGTGTGATGGTCTTTTTTTTTTTTTTTTTTTTTTTTTTTGGTGGGAGATGGGGTTGCAGATTATGGTCAAATTATGTCAATGCAGTGTTTGAATTGAGTCATTAAAACACTTGCATGAAGAAAAGGAGTGTATTTAGGGAACAAATGAGAGGCCAATGGTAATGACTACAATGCATTTGACCAGAAAATAAAAGAGGAAGCAAAGATAAACCTTAAATTGCTCTAGACCGCTGGTTGACACCTCAAAGTAATAACAACAAAAACTGAATGGATTGTTTTATACTTTAGATTAACATGATTTTCTTGGGCTATTAGTACTAATTAATGTAAATGTATATTATGGAATAAGAATGTACGATCAAATATTAATACTCCTAATATTTTTATACCCTGCGTCTACAATGATTAATGTTAGATATACATTTGGTATTGAAATTTTACTATTTTTTTGGTCTCTGAGGAGTTAAGCTTTGTAATTTGTTTATAATGCCTGTATCTTTAAATGTATTTGGTATTAACATAATAATTTTTTGGTTATCAATGGAATTTTTAATTTCTTTCTTTTCCTGTAATTAATGAGTCCTAAAGTTTTCATATAACGTCGTCTATTAACCATCTACTTCACCTTTGTTGCTATCACTAACCAAGTTATTAGTCAGTAGCAGATTGCCGTTGCACGTAGCTTTGCATGCCACAAAATACTACAAACATTGCGAAAAATGAATTGATAATTCTATCCATACAAGAGCACATTTGTGCAGGAACAGTCATGGATTATGAGTGGAGCTCAGAAATGTACTAAACATTCAGACATGTAAATGTCAAAGATTCAATATACTCTAATCTTCATAAACCAAGTACACGTCAAAATTGCTAACCAACGAATTCCCTCCGTGTCAATTTTTTCCGCAAGACATTCCACTGTCAAGAAGCTTGACTTGCAGAGTGAATGGTAAAGGGCATAAAGTTATTCAACGAAAAGCTTTAGGTCTAAATACCCCCGAAATTTCTTGAAAAAGAATTTTACTGGATAGAACATACTCATCACTGAAGAACCATATGCCTACTTCCACGAGGAAAAGCCATTTAGTAATCCCTCAGTTAGACGGTCTCTGGCATGCAACAAACAACTGCCAACTGATAAAAGCAATCAGCAATGAGCTGAACAGTTCAAAGCCTACCACTTTTGGAAGGTGCCAACCCAAGCCTCGCCTCAGATAACTGCAAACACCACAGCAGTAGCTTAGCAGGTCTGTTTTTTGAATCAGACATGAAAAAGATGACTATAACACAAGCAGTCATTTTATTCGAAAAGAAGTTATTGCTTCCAGATCCCACTGGGTGCAAACAATTTCTGAGGGCCATCGGACTGGGTAAAACCTGAATTAACCGCGGTGCACTTGTGGGAAACTCCTTGCCGAGGGCCTGTGCACCCCCGGGAATAGTCGGGGCTCGAAGAGACTCGGACACCCGGTGCAAATCAAAAAAAAAGTTATTGCTTCCAGATCAGATTCTCGTCTTACAAATTCATGTCAAATAAATGCTGGATAAATTATTGCTAATTTTAGCAATGCAAACTGACTGCCTGTCCGAGTCCGACCCATTTTATGTCATTTGGCTTCTCGGGCATAAAAATTGTTTTTCACAAATATCTTCATTTTCTGATGTTCTACAACTAAAATGGCCACAATTTTATAATTTAAGTGCAAAGAGCCACATAGGGTGAAGGACTATACGAACTGCGGGCAATTCAATATGATGGTGGGACATCCATATGTAAAAGAGAGAAAAAAAAGAGTTAACAAGCCGTCCATTTCAGAAATTGATCCATCTGGACTGTTAAACAAGCAATTTCAATTAAGTGGGACACAAAGAGTGATATTCTTAGTACAATATAAATTTTGAAAAAGGTTCTGCTAGAGCACTTACTAGATACTGGAGAATATTAAAAGTTTATACGGCTCGCAGTGGCGAAGCTAGGAATTTTTCCAAGGGTGTTCAAATTTAAAAGAAGTGAAAAAATTTCCGACAAAGGGTGTTTAATATGTGTTATATACCTCTAAAACGTAATATTTTACCTATATACACAGTACAATTTTTCGACAAAGATGACTATGTGGCTTCGCCACTGACGGCTCGAAAAGAAAACATGAAATTTGCCAAACGGGAGTTGGCTTGTATTATTAAACAGAGACAACTAAAGTAGATTTAAATGGGGGG